AGAGACATAAAGATAGTGAGGGAAACAGAAAGATGGCAGTTTGGCTTTTAGTCCTATTGGGCTGTTTGGTGAGGCTGGAATGTGATCGTCTGGTTGTCAATACTTTGCCGAGTGACCACTTTGAATGGGTCATGGGAAAACGACCTAAACACACACACATATACACCAACACAGTCACACACAATGAGTTAGCACATGTATGCTGTATCCTGAATAAAAGCCTCTTAATGCTAAACCTTTCCTCTGTGTTGCTGAGATATATTTTGCCACATTTGCCTTGATAATGATAAGTGTAGCAATGAGAAAAAGTAATGAGAAGATGTAACCTTGGGCTTTGTGAATGAAATGGTCACCATTCTGACATTTTAGAGAAAACACTTAGCAGATTTATCAATAATGAACATAGATGTAGCCCTAAAATTGTGTTGCTTGTCAAGCTTTTTGGCAGATGATTCAGACCTTGTTGTGTGTATTGCAATCAGCTACGTAGCTGAGTAAAAAGGTCCACTGACATCTTTAGAAAAATCTCCTATCCTAAAGTAACATGAGATGACAGATTATTGGCATTGATGTTTAATAACACCCGCCCATGCTGATGACAAACATTTTAGCAAGGAAAAAAAATGAACAGAACTCATCTTTAACATATGAGAAAAATCCAAGTGATGGCCGTTTTCATAAATCACAAAACGAAGACTCTACGATCTAGTGTCACTGAGGAGACCCTCTTTAGGGATTATTTTTTAAAAAGCAGCTTGAAGTGATTAAGATCACGTAAGAGTATAGAAGCTCTGCAGTTTGCAGCACTGTGCTTTTCCTGTGAGAATGGCACTTGGCTCATTATCACCTTCAACAATGCATCATCTAATTTCACACTTCTGGACCTCGCTGAGCACTGAGGTCACGTGCACATATTGGATGCAGTCTTGCACACATGTACCTGCAACTGCTGTTTTCACACCTCCAGACCACTTTCAGAAATGGAACAAAAGGGGTACACCCAAACAGATTTGATGTCAGCAAATCTGACTGCACACATATTCACGAAATTCCCTCTAAGCCTAAAGCTGATCCTCTGACATGGCCCAACATGCAGGAGGAAGCTAGCTGTATTGCCTCCAGATATAAAAAGACCTTCTTAGTGACTTGGCCATACAAGTCACAATCCTCCACAAAAGCAAACCTCAACATGACACAGCCAGACACACACATCCAATTTCCTTTGGCTTAATGTTTGCAGCATATTAATCCTACATTTGACCCTACACTGAGAAACCCTGAGCAAGCCAAATGCACAATAAGCCCTCCGAGAGTATGTGTTGGCAATATTTACCCACCAAGGCCTAAATAGAAAGCTGAAAAAAAAACATGAGCAGAAGACATCAGGAACAAGGCCTCTGAGGCTAAGAGGGTAGCTCTGCAACTCTGTCATCCTCCAGCTATATCTACACTCAGCTAACATTTGGCTAATACTTGAGTGATGCTAGCATTCAGCGTAGCCCTCTGTTTAATTGCACTTTCATCCACAAAGTAAAACTGGATACAAGGGATCACCAACACTGAATAAATCAAGAATTTGAGATAAGCAATTGTAACAGCGGGTGTGTGACTCACGATGTCTTGGGGTGTATTGCTCCAATCCTCTCGCAGTCATAGATGATGAAGCTTCCAGATACCACAGATGTCCCATTCACCTTTATTGCCACAGAAACAGTCAGATGATCTGGAGAAACAAAGGCATGTAAACAATGGTGCACATGTCAAGCACTTGAGATGCCATGGGTGTTAACACAAACTAGACAGTGAGACATCCTCAAGCTGGACTGACTTTGTTGCATTTTGAAAGATGAAAAAGGTGAGATTACATCTGTTCTAATACAGCTCAACATCTTGTAAACAAAAAATAATCACATATGGTAATTGCACTCGTGGGAAAAATGTGGCTGGTAACATTGGTATGCAGCCTGTTTGCGGCCTCACCTGTGCCAGGGGGGATTGCTTGGTATTTTTCTAGAGGAAGCAGGGGACAGGTCTGGATCTGAGCTGGACCATAGTCCAGGTGTACTGTGGCAGCTGTAGAAACACCAGGCCCATATTCACACTCCACTCGGGAGCCGACCAGATCAGGAACACTGCCATTTATCAGGATGCCTACATCCTACAATAGGAATAGATTAGAAATTTAAGCAATTACAAATTTAAATGAACATGCCCACACATGTATTCAAGTCCAGTGTACGGTTAGTCTTTTGTACAGGATAAACAGCACTGGCACTGCCTCAAGTTTGTTCAGGAGTTCAGGCAAAGAAACAGAAAAAGTAATGTGCAATGAAGAAACAGATGGCATAGTGCTACATTCACATCTAAATCTGGCTATGTGATGAAGTATGACAGATGTATAATGAGAAACATAACACCTCACTGACATAACTGAGTTTCAACTAAATTATTTCAATGTGAGAAAAATGAGAAAAATGGTTGTGTGTGTGAGTGGGTCGGTGGTAGTGGTGGTGGGGGGGCTTATGTACACAAAAAGTGTGTAAGTGGTCAGTAACGTGCTAACAATCTTTATACAGTCAATGGTCCCAACATGTCTTAAAAATCTGCTCCATTGTTCAGTGGAATTGCTCATTTCCTGACTAAGGCCCTGACTTCCTGCCAGCTGCTTCCTGTTTGGGGAGACAACCTTCAGCTGAGCTTCCTGTGACTCTGAAGGATGACTGTAGACAATGCAGCTGCTCAATCTATTATAACCCAGACTGGCTGAGCTACAAAACAAGCAATTAATGAACCAATTAATGAACTGTCATCCCTCAGCCTCATCTAATTATGAGCTGTAATTAAAGGTCAAATATATTCCAAGTGTCAAAATTCAGTGAGCTAATTATCACCTTGTTATTATGCTATTTTACATAATATATTGACTGTAGGAAATAACTGAAAATAACAGCTTACAATTCAAGTAATATGCATACACTCCTTTTACAAGGCTATAAAATATTAGCCAGATTTGTTAGTTATAGTATTTGGTTTTGAGCAGGTATAGTAGTGTACAGTGGGATTTTAGAGCTCCCTCACGCCAGCAGCTGCCTGCTGCAGCTGAGAGCAATGCTATGAGAGTGAACCAGTAAACATGATTGCTATATTGTTCCCATTTTGCCATTTGATCCCCGTTTTGATATGATGCTTTATTATTAAAAAAAAAAATCAATTATAGCAGCTTCGACATCAGAGCAGCTACAACAGCCAACAGTGTTGGTATGACTTTATCAGCAGGGTAACAATAAAATTATATACAATAATAGTGAGAGGTGTCAGGTTATAAAGGTGATCATCTTTCATCAGCTTTAAATACACTGCCCCCATTACAATCATAGCCTCATGAGTAACAACAATGATATCTATTTGACTTATGAAAGGGGTGTGATGGGCAACAGTAGTATGGAGGGAGATAATGATACCTTGATGTCTGCAGAGATGCTGATCTCTGGTGGTGTCAGGGTCATGGACGGACACTGTTGGGCACCTTCCCCTATGCTGATCCAAGAGCGTGCCAACAGACCCTGAGCACATTCCTTCTGGATGGAACATCTGGACAGAACGCAACAGAGTTAAAGTTTACGAGTCATATCTGGGCATATCATACTGTGCTTACTGGATAACTTTTATTTAGGGTAAGAGTAGATTACAGCACAATGAGACTCACATTTGGAAGTTAATGACCATGTGTATGTTTCCTTGTTAACCAGCACAAAAAATCTTTCTACAGCTGAAAGGTTCTGGTGTAACATTTTGGGGTTAGATTTTCCATCAGCATGTCCCACATCAGAACATGACCATCTCATATACAGCAATTGCTTGTCAATGATACAGCCGGTAATCAGGATCTACTAAGCCACTGGTCTAACCACACTGATGTGCAAATGCAGAACTTTTGTTGCCATATTTTCAGGAGACCACAATCTGATGTGTTTTCATTTTATTCCAGGACTTGACAAATTCTCACTGCTGGGTTTTATGCTCTGCTTGCCACAAATTTATGAGGTGCTCCGGTCTCCTAATGTCAAATTCAGACCTTGGCTGTCAGTTTGTCTGGCTCAACACAAGAGACTACTTGACTCGAGGTCACATGCATTGCTATGGCAACTCATCCCGCAGGCACTAAGATCAGGGTCCGGTTGAATAAAAATACAAGAGATTCTTAATCTGTGTGAAACAGTAGTCTGTGCCACCGTGAATATGCATATTGGTGCGGACACACCAACAGCATGTGTGCGCTTCTCTGTGAGTATTATAAATGTGTAGGACAGAAGAATTGTAAAAGGGCATCCAACAAGCAAGGTGGCCACCTACTCTGACTTCTGCTTCACTAATGAACTCCACCGGCCACTGGCTCAGAGCTCATCTGCACTGGAAGGACAAAGTGACCCCAGAGGAAGTGAGAGCCAGAGAGGCTCCATTTAGCAACATCTGAACATGCCACATAATGAGTTTGGCACATCCCACTTCCCTCTCACACTGTCACAGTTGTTTCAAAATAAAGTGCGTATCTGTGTGCCTGCATGTCCATAAGTGTGAGCATTTGTGTTAGAGGACTGTGAATGTCCAGCTTCTCAGTGCTATTGGCACTGAGAGACTGAGAGGGGCAACGAGGTCAGCAGCTGAGCCATATATACAGTCTGTGTGCCTGACTAAGAATAGAACTAAGTGGCTCTACAAGCCACATGAAAATCCCCTCGACACCAACAATCATAAACTCTGAACACACTCTCAACAAACTCAACAGTCCAAATAGAATGGATTTATGGATAAATGGTCCAGCACTGAAAATGTACTGCTGGCTTAGCTATGGATTTAATTTCCATTTTGAAAGTTGTTCTCTGAGTGTAGCTGGGTATTGCCTGAAAGTTTCTGATGCTGCTGTAAGTATGATACTTCAGTTTCATACTTACAGAATGATCCTTTTTGAAACCATACTTTGCGGAATATAAACTCTCGTCAGTTGTTGGTTCACCACTTTGGTCTAGAGTGAAATATCTCAATTATTGAGAAGGATCTACTGTATCTGCACACTGCAAGACATGGACGGAGCGTGTAGGGGTGTAATGTGATGTGTCCAGTTAACCCTGCCACTGACTACAACCAGCCACAGATAAGTGTAATTTGTAGTAAGGGGTGCATCTGGTAGGTGTGACTTATAGTAGAGGGAGGGTTTAGGGGTGTAACTGGACGCATTACCGCTGTCTTGCAGACAGATACTTTTGTCAGTTCAAATTTAAGTTTGTCCAAATTTGATTTATGATCAAATACCTACAAAACTAATGAATTTCCTATCAGCCTCAGCTGGTTAACAAGGGAAACATTAGTTACCTACTTATATCAACATGTAAGCACTGTCACTGAGAATGTTAGCATGCTGACATTAGCATTTAGCTGTGCCAGAGTAAATGATAAATGGCCTTATACTTGTATAACGCTTTTCTATGCATTGCAGCACGCTCAAAGTGCCTTCACACATTATTTGGCCATTCACCCATTCGCACTCTCACATTCATACACTGGTGTCATCACTGGGAGCCACTGGGGGTTCAGTGTCTTGCTCAAGGACGACATGTGGAATGGACATGCCTGGAATTGAACCCCTAATCTTCCAGTTAGGAAGATTTAAAACAGGTCAAGCTTCTCAAGCAAACCTAACATAACAGTGTAAATTTTGTGAAGCTGATGATGCACTTTATGCTAACTTTCACAGTTTGATTATTCTCAGCACTCAATGCTACACATTTTGTTTAGAACTTCAAAAATACCGAAGCACAATACACCAGACCAACAATACCAGTCAAAGTATGGACACACCTTCCCATTTAATTCAAAGGGAAAGTGTGATAGGTAATGTCATTTTGGGATTTGTGCATATGTTTTGAGAATATTTTGTATTTCATTTTGAAATCGTTGGTTTACAATGGGGTGGACGTGCCTGTTTTACATGTAAAACAACAGATAAACTCCAGATTTAATTTTTAAGTAATGGATACCTCTTAGACATCACTGAAGCAGGCATCCAAAAAACCTTGTCCTACTGTAGGCTATCTCAAAAAAAAAAAAGCAGTCTCAAGCGAACATCAGCAAACATCAAGTGAGTTCTACTGGACAGAAAATGCACAAAAGCCACTAACATCATGATATTTCTTATTTCCTCTGTTTTCCACATTCATTGTTAAACTGCGTTCATGACTTGCCTGCTAACTCAAGCAACAATTTAATCAAGTGCAGCAGAGAGGAAAAATAAATTCTAAGCATTTCTCTCTTCTCTAAAAGTCTGGAAAGCGCTAATAAGCATACAGCAGACACGCACATACAGTACACACACAATTATACTCCTCACCTGCCTCACAGCAGCATGCTGACTTTAAAAGCTTTTTAAGCAGCTCTTTAAAATAAACAGCGTCAACATATGCAGCTAAAATATGACCTGAGAAAACTCATCACCTCCTAAGTGTCTGTACACCAGATAAGGTGGGAAGCTAGTGAGACTGTTAAACAGCAGAACATATGAGCTTCAAGCCACACACGGACACACAAAGTCTGTGTGAGACAAGCACATGCAGATAAGCGTGATAATTTGTGAATAGCAAAGACTGCACATGACACATAATTTGATTCAAAGAAATATATTCAAGTGTGTTCTTGTGACATGCAGCTCCAGCACAAAAAGCAAGATGAAGAGCTAAGATTTTCTCTGGTGGAGAAACTCTCTCTCTCAGTTTCAGACAACAATGCAAAGTCCAACAAGCAAACAGACATGTTTTCCTGCTCCCTCTGCATGCAGACATGTTGAAAGGCGTCAGAGCTGTGCATAAAATCAAACAGACACCCAAAGATACAGTGGTGACTTCACAGATTGTAGATAGCTCTCTAGTGGTTCTTTTGTCTGTAGCTGTGTCAGAGATGTGACGGAGGAGACCATCCACTCCCACACATCAAACCCCTGATCCCCCAGGCTCCAAGGCCACAGTGCCAGACCCTCGGACGACATGACTGACCAAACAGTGCATCAAGCACACAAATACACACTAATGACATCAGCTCCTTGGCCTCTGAGAGACAGACAGCGATACACAGTCATGCTGACACACAGGCTTATACACTTTGACATTTCCTTGTCAAAAGAGCCAGTGTGCACTCTCCCCTCCCACCATCATCATCACAATCAGTACTTTTTTGTAGAGGGATAGAGAGGAGGACAAGGGCACTGGGGGAGGAGGAGATGAGGACTAGGGAGAGAGAGAGGGAGGTCGGGAGAGGGATAACTACACTCACAAAGCTAGTGAAAAATACAAGGGCATGAAAGGGATAAACAGGGAAGTCGAAGACAGAGAGAATCACGTGGGTAAAAAAATGCAGTGAAGCAAGAAGGGAACTGGGATAAAGAGACAACACACAGATAAATAAAGAAATGAGACAGGGAGATGACAGCAAGACAGTCTGACCATACATACACACACAGACAGCTCTCATCAGTTCCACTCTTCCAGCTCTGAATGGCCCCTGGCAATGCCAGAGCCTCCAGAGCCACAGCACAACTCATCACAAAATTCCCTATCTCGTCTGATCTGCTTTAATCACCAAGCAACCAAACAACTCTCACACACACACACAATCACAGCTCAACACAACACATATTCTCCCTGAAAGCCAGTGAAAACAGAGCCAGAGATCCAGTCCTGACAGAGCCACATTAATCCCAGTGTACTCTTGCTCGCTCACAGTAACACTTCAGCCAAGTCGCTCCTCGTTGGGCGCTCCCAGCATGTCACGCCGTCCTTGGACTACCAAAGAACCAAGGGACCGCTCCAGACAATGATGTTGCTCCCTAGTATGAAGCCTAATGAAAAGCAAATCGATTCTACTCAATCCAACAACAGCCTTCCAGCCCAAAAACACACTCTGTCACTGCCAAGACTCACTCAGCCAGGCGACATTTTGAAACTGAGAATGAGGATGAAGAGAACGAGCAAATGAGCCTCTGTGATTTCATTGATTCAAATGCTGAAAATATCAAAGCAATGCACTTAAATCATTTTATTATTAAAACATCAATCTGATCTTTTATTGCTTCAAAATCAGCTTTAACTTAAGTCATATAAACAGCTCCAGCTTGTACCGCATAAATACAGGCAGCAGAGACAGCACACATTTCCACATTTTCTCATTAGATTACATCAAAACCATGTGGCATGTGCATGACACCAAGGCGCGTGATATTTTGAACAAATTGTGTGTTTTTCTTGCAGCAGAAGAGACGCTTAACTGCATAAAGGAAGAGAGACAGAGAAGCGGAAACTGTGTGTGTGGGTGTGTGTGTTTCCTACCTGTTCTCCAGAGTACACCAACCACAGTGGGGATCACCCGCACCCAAACAGTCATTGCAGCTCTTCCGCTGGTCACAGTCTGCAACTTTTACCCTCAGCATCTGCACAAATAAAATGCAAACATACACAAAATTATATTAAGGTATAACACCAACAGCTTTTCCAGGATCATCATAGACCGAACTAGCACTGAAAAAAATTGGTCAACAATTTTTATAATCATTTAATACTTCAAGGCTTTGACCTACATTATATTGTGTTATAAATCATTTATCTAATATTTATATCTGTGTATAAATAAGAATAAATAATAAAAAGCGGGGAGCATGTATAGAGAGAAAAATTCTGTTCTGTATGACTTGGTGATACCTTTGGTTACTGGAGGTAACTGCCAATTATATTTATTACTACATATCCCACAATTCTGGAGGCAGCACACACTTTTTTCCAGCAGACAATTTGTCAGAAATACACCAGAAGAATAATCTGTGTGTCTGTTTACAGTTCTGCCAGACACACTCATGTTGTAGGTAAATGTAGATAGATAGTTTGAACTGACAAACTCTCTGTCTCTTTATAGAAAGGTATTGCACAATGTAAACGCATTGAAATGTATATAATACCAACCATGAATGGCATCAAAATCTGTTTTCAGTCTAAAGTGTTGCATTTCAAGATGCTATGGATCATCATGTTTGTCATGTCAAAAACAGGTTTATCTGATCAGTGCATATCAAAGCAGGTCTTGGTTTCAGAGGTAGGAAGCACCGTGATTTAATGTCACTGCAGTCGACTAACAATCAGGTGCATTTGCACCGTGCAACAGAACTGCTGGAGGTGTACACACATCCTGGCATAAACACTGTTATGAATCTCCCTGGTTTGAAAATTGAAACCTATTGAAGGCCTATCTTCGTCACAAATGTGTGAATGTTCAGCTAAATTGAGGTGAGGAGGATTCACTGGAAGTGAAATGAAGTCTGATTGTGACTATTATGATCCGTCTTCATGCTGACATAAATACAGTAAGTCAGTGCCAGAGGAGGCAAGAATAAACAAGCAGCTTGAAATTGGAACCTCTCCTTCAGCCACATACTTACATGGTGAGAGGTCATGAGATAAAGGAAGTTTCTGTCATTGGGGTCAAAGGTCATGATGTGATGGACTGTTTCGCTGCCTGGCAGCTTCAGTTTCCACTGATTGGCCAAGGTCATGTTTGCCAGGAGGGTCAGCTGAGAGAAGGACACAGAGCAGAGGACGCAAGTTAGTTTGCAGCATTGGAACAGAAGCAGAATAGTGCAATAAATATTTTAAATTTATTCAAGAAGGAAAAGTCAAGTGAGAAACTCTTTGCTTCACATCAATGCAGAGGAATTTCTTAAATACTGAGACTGGGCTCAATATAACCACAGCTGTTTTTGTTGATCAAGCAGATCAGTGTGAGCACATTCAGAGCCATGTGCTTTGTTCAGCAGCACCTGAGAAGAAGCAGCTTTTTTTTAATTTCCTGTCTGTATTTGACAGAAGGTTCATGCCAGCAACTTTCATATCATAATAATTTTTCTAAGTTAAAAGCAAGTTCTGCTTACAGTAAGCACTGATGCGATTTTGCATGAAAAAATGTATAATTTTATATGGAAGTTTTAGTTCCTGATTGACATACAGTATATTGTACAAGACAGCACCACAGATTTTCATTGTTTATGAAATGTATGTATAAAAATACCTGACAGTTTACTGTAAGTACAACATTTTTGAAGTCACAAATGTCTCTCTTATATTTCAAAATATACTTTACATGATCAACCTCAAATATATTTTAGGAGCTCCTTTGTTCATCAATTAATCTTGCTCTACTGAGCAGTGATTTATCTACACACTAACCTTCCTACAGCTCGAGATAGTAAGAAGACTGACATGTTGTCACATATGCACAAACATACATGCACACAGACAGACACACACACAGCTATGCAGAAAAACAAACTTTACAAAGGGAGACTTCCTGTCTCAGGCAGACAGTGAAAGCTCTTATTTCTGTGATTTGTCAGGTCTCCCTTCAATGGAGACATCCTGAGGAACTGGCAAACTGACCAGCATCTGGTGACAAGCACGAGCTGTCTGTCTTCTCAATCCTCTGGGCAAACAAACACACTGACACAGACACACACACAAGACAAAACCATCACCACCCACTGAGACATGCTGGTTAACGTTAAACCAGAGCAGACAGAAGCTTAGTAAATCATTGGCTTGTGATTAGAGGCATTATCTCAGCCTCCAAATATCACTGTCGTTTTTGTAGCACCATCCACCCAACCACACACACACACGCACACACACACACACACACACACACACACACACTTGTCTGCCTTGGAGGTAGTAAACAGCTGTGCTAGGTCCTCACCAGAGTGACTACAAATGCATGTGTGGAGTGACACAGCAAGGGGCAAGTAAACAGCAGCCCACACACCTGGACAGGGAGCAGAATAGGAGCAGTGTCACAGCACGCCTACAGGTCAACCAACAAAACACCTGCCATACTGGCAGGTTGCTCTAACTATCTGTCTGCAGATGAAAGACCCCATTCAACCAAGGATTGTTCAGCTGCTGTGTGACAATTCTGTGTGTGTGTGTGTGTGTGTGTGGATATGTACCTGGGTGTAAAGGAGAGAGAATAAAGACACATGAAGGTTGGACAGGAGAGAGGGAACAGGAGAGAGAAGGAGATCAAGTCTGTTTGTTTGCAAAATGAATCAAAGGGCCTTTTATATCTGAGTGGGAATAAAAGGGGGGACAATGAGGTGATGAACTAAGAAGTGAAGGGGCGGACTGACTGAGGGAGTAAAATTGGACAAGAGTGAGTGAGATAAAGGCTGACACTGCAAGAGGCGGAAAATGGAAGTCAGCTGTAATGGGGAGGCAGAGACTTCATTAAAAAATGCATGTAATTACAAAATACTTCACTGAGGTCTCTCTCTCAAAGACAGTAAAAGAGGTTTAACTTAATCTCAACCACTGTTCCCCTGTGTTTAGTCTGAGCCAAACTCAGAGTCAGAATCACATTACACACACTAACAGCACCATTAACCTCTAACAACTCTATCCTTAGGGCACACACACACGGACACTGCCACACACAGATACATATACAGACAACGAAAGACACAAAGCTTAAAAGCACAGAGCACGCTGTTGCCCAAGGTCACAAAAACACTATGCTGCCTACAGTATGTAAAAAGGTTGACACACATGCTGTGAGAACACACATATAGCACATAATCACAGGGTATGCATTCATCTAAGTAAACACATGAAATCACTAAACCGCTTGCACTGGCCTACAGATGAATCAAACACCTAAAATCACAGTCAAACCTGCAATCAAGCAAACAGACATACACAAACACAGTCATACACATGGTCACATACACCACTCCAACCAGTGTTATGCATCCGAAACAATCTATCCAAAAACCAATTACTGCGTGCTCAGCTGAGACTCAAGCAGTGCCTTCATCTGGGGAGGAAAACAAGGAGCCTTCTTGGCAGGTCCAAAATGAAACGCCCCACAGCAACATATTTTTCATGTTGTAAAAGGGACCAGGTACCAGACTAATGCAAAACAACTGGGTCAGAAAGTTTTCAGAGTCAGTTTATGTTGTTGCTGTAGAAGAAGCTTGTTGCATTTGCAGACAAGCTGCTGCTCAGCAAGCCCAGTCAGGGGTGACTAGGAATGTGGCTGAGACAGAATTAAGGAATGCTGTTAACTGGATGGGAAAAGTTTTCACAAGCTGGACCTAGTGCAGATGTTTGAAAGCCGAAGTCGAAGGACTGACTCATACTGTATGTCATCAACAGATCTTGTTAAACAACTTTCTGATGATCCCTCAGATAATAACCAGATCTAAGGTACATTAGAGATGAGAGATTAGGACTATTAAATGGCCCACAGAGCGAGGGGGTTGGGTGGTGGCATTGCTGAGAAAGTATGAGATGAAAGCAGGCATATTTGTTCGCCTATGGCACTGAGCGTTTCATTGCGCACCTATGTCTGGTTTACTGAAAGGTGCAGCCACATCTGAGCAGCACTACGTAAATGTTACTGTTAAAGGTTTTCCAAGCTTGAGGGCTCAATCACATTAAAATATTAACTCCATTCAGCTGTGACCATTATGTTCAACTGCATTATTATCGTTTTAGAAAGGTTTCATTCTTTGCTCAGTCGTGCACTGTTAGTATGTGTGTGCTGTATGTATTTATTGTTTTGTCTCCTACCTTGCGAAGTCGTCCATTATTGCTTCCCAGAAAAACCACAGTGTGGTTGTGTACATTGTCCACAGAAACTGCACTAAGGCCTGGGTATTCAAACACCGGAATAGCCCTCAGGGGCCTCCGTAGGGCCAGAGGGTGTTGCAGGTGGGCCGCACCGCACTCCAGCTGCTCGGGTTGCAACTATAACACAGAAGAAACGAGAGGGAGATTAATTCTCATCAGCTTTCATATGGAAGGGTGCAGAAAAGAGGAAAGAACAGAGCACATAAAGAAAGATGTGTGATGAAAGTGAAGTGGACAATAAGAGCTGATAGTAGCTACCACAATGGTGCTGCCCTTTCTTCTAAATCACTTTGAGACATCTCAGTGAATACTTGATAAAGGGCTTACAAGGGTCTCATAAGATTTTGCTTTTGTCAAATCCTCAGCAGGCAATGATAAAACATTAGTGTCACACTTGGATGAGCATCAGGATCTACTGGGAATTCTCTGAATATTTTAGAGCATGCACAGGCAAAGAAAAAAAAAAGAATTAAGCACAGTGGGTATTTGTAGAGTCATTTCCCACGAGCCCTTGTACTCACGGCCTTGTCTCTTATCATAAATTGTGTCTATGTTTCCCTCAGCACTGGCCTTCAGACTGCCGACTAACAAAAAAGATCACACTTCAACAGCCATGGCAACATACAGTAAATGCCAAGCTAAACAACATCTAACTTTATTCTGTGAGGGGTACGTAGGCTGCATTACAACAAAAAGAAAAAAATCAACTTGAAATTATTCTGAAGTGAGCCCTTGTCTATTTCAGGAAGACCTGAGGGCCAATGGAGATAGTATTCAAAAAAATAATCACAGGAGTGGCCCTGACCACAGCCCACAAGACAGTGCCAGCGAGGAGGACAACTTTCTGACCTGGCAGCACGGTGGCTGAAGAACGGCCTTCTTTGAACCAGCTCTGTCAGCCAAAATCACCACAGTGAAAAACTGGAATTTCACTGCATTCCTGTGAAACTGTGCAAAGTCTCTGCCTTTATTATCAGGCATAAGGAGGGAAAACACAGGGAGGGGGCAAATATGGCACACAATGCTAAAGTTTCCTTAAGGACTGGAATGCAGGCACTGGAGTTAAAAAACACATGATAACATCTGACCAAGTGTCTGTGTCAAAGCGACTATTTATTCACTAACACTGTGCTAATTTTGTGGTCGAGTTATAGTTAGCAGCACGGACAGAATAACAAAAGATGCCTGAAGTGAAGTGACAAACACAGCACACTATTGACCCCCATTCTTTGTCCATTTTTGATAAGACTGTGGAAGCTGCTCGATGTGAGAGGAGTCTCACCCTTCCCATAACCCCTAGTGAAATTCTGGAGCAGCTTTCCAGCTATCATGACCTCTGCTCATGACATGGGAGATCCTCCCTCCAAGTCATGAGCCTCAGGGTCAAAGAGGATAACTGCTTGTAAGCATATATGGCAGCTATCAGAGAGATACAGCAGTCAGTAGCAGCAGTGATGTGTTTTAATTTCACAGGGACAAAAGGTGTCATACAGTAGGCACAGAAACAGGTTTATTTGCCATGTATGTTTAACAATACAAAGAGTTTTGACTCAGATTTGCAGTGATGGAGTGAATTAAGAAAGGCACCAAATAAACAAACTCTCTTGTGATGAATCCAATAATGTTTATAAAACAATGCATAGATGAAAATCAAAGCAGAAATGAAACAACAAAATAAAAAATCATTTCCTTGTTTTCAATAAAATAGAAAATCTGTTGGTGAGGTTATGTGTCTGTTGCTCCCTGGCTTGATGGGAGAGTTATTCTGCCCCAGCAAGATCCAGTAGCCTTTATAAAGAGCCAATCAAGTTGAACCATCTCAACTGATTAATTTCTTTTCATTTTTCTGTTAAATGAAACGTTTAGGCCACGTTTAGGCACATACATTTTGTGCAACATGCCCACATGAAATCAAATTAAACTAAATTAAGATTTAATATTTTTGTGCTAATACAAGAGCTCTGTAGTCCTTACCACCAGGTTTCCCTTCTGAATGCAGGCTGCCCCGGAGCCCTGGATAACGCTGTCCAGCACCTGTACATCGCTGCTGGGGGAATTGGAACAGTTTCTGCGGCCTTGTCGGATCTCCTCTTCAATGTCTCCAAACTTGAAAGCGCATAGAGCGGACTTTCTGTCCGCTTTGGAAAACACTCCGAACAGATAGGGCTCTGAGCCCTTAACGTCCTCTGTGTGAATCTCCGTCTGGTACACAGACAAGAGCCGATTGTAAATGTTCCCGTTAAATCCGCACTGTAGAGGCATCTGGATGTAGGATTCAGTGAGCTTTCTACTCTCTGGCCCGGTGGACTTTCGGGGGTTTTCTGTGTCCAGGCATATCCTGGCGAGGATGCTGTTGGGCTGGCTCTCCTTGTGGCCCATTTTTGCATCATTATTGAAGGCGATGTAGGAATAAGTCTTTTGGATGAAAGCGTGGACGAAGTTCAGTTTGTTTTTGGTTTTAACTTCTTGTTTGATCTTGAAAACATTATCCTCTGAAGGGTTAATGTCATAGGTGAAAAGTCGGGATAAATCCTTGATGTTCAAGGAGCGGATGGCGATCTCCGGGGTGTTTTCAAAGCGCAAGTCCTCCTTGCTGCGGTTATTGGGGAAAAACTGGGTACCAGCCCCTGTGTACGTCGCTCCCACAAGAAGCCGGGTATTTCCCCCGTGGCTCTTGAAGATAAGCCCGACAGTGGACGCGTTTGCATGATTGGCAGCAATGTTGAGCATGCTGGGGAAAACAGTCTTCTCGCCTTGAGGTGGGAACTCCACGGCTATCTCAGAAATATTCTCCATTTTTCTGAGCTCACAAAAGCCTTGATACACAGATCCACATACCAGCACCACCCCTTGCTCTCGGTCCAGCTTCAAGAGCTTGTTGTAATTGTCAGTAAGAGATTTGGAATGCTCGCACGGAGCCTGGGGCAGCTGTGGCGCATGGCACAACAGGTTGTCCTCCACCGGCCCGGTCCTCTTCGCCACCTCGATACTCAAGGTCCCGTTCAGCTGGTAGACTGTGTTGACAGTGGCCAGGTAAACCTTTCTGGACACCGGATCCACCACGAAGTTATTAGTCTGATTTGTAGACGGGAATGCCTGTTGGATGTGCAGCGCGCTGGCACTCAGGCGCGTCTCCAAAGCCAGGACGCCAAGGAGCAGAACAGCTATCCCTATCGAAGGAGGCATTTTTCCTTCTGACCGGCTTCCGCGTGTTCTGTGCCGAGGGGTGCATTGAGCAAAGACAAAATTGTGTGTTTGTTTCTACTGCGACAACCCGAGAGGAAAGGCTGTTTCCTGCTCAACGCCTATACCCAGAATGACGCTATAAGCGAGTCGTGCTTCCTTTACAGGCTGCCTCCTCTGTCCCTCTCTGCCAACCGTGGAGCTCAGCAGAGTGTCTCCCGAGGCTTACTGAGACACAATACCTCGCCGGATTGTTATGATCTCTAAACAATAGACTGCAAATGGGTACAGTTGATTTGTTGATGCGCAATTTCTGTACAATGTCATGCCCGCACAGAGGTCATCAAACTTGCTTGGAGTTTTGTTTCAGTTCGGTTCAGTTATTGAAGAATTCATTCATAAACGATGCATTAATAAAGTAAATTCAATTAAAATTAGGACTTTACTGGGCACAGTGGTGCCAAGTCGCACTGACTCCCCGTGCCACCTCCCATTAAAGTGCTTTGTCAGGCCTGCTGCGACTGATCACAGATGGCTAGATGGAGCCAGGCATAGGTAGTCACTAAATTGTTAGACCTAATAAGTGTTGAGTATATTTTTTTCATTTTGTCCAGCTACATTTGAATTTGTTCTCATCCAACGACAAGATCAAATATGAACTAAGTTTAATATTAACCAAATATTAACCAGCTATAAAATGGCCTCTTCGTGCAACAGAAAGTTATAATGACTATGTACATTTCCTTTCAAGATGATCTACTTGATGAAACTCCGTCTCTAACTGTGGTTCCGCTCATCTCGGGGTTAATGACAGGTCACCGTTCCACCTCCTGTGCTCCCCAGTTCCTTGGCTCTGAGATTAGTTCTGCAGATCCTGAGGGTTCCGTTTTGGGCACATAAGGCACGGTAAGCACCATGAAAGTGCTACCAGATGGGCACATCAGCACACCTTTCCGGTTTTTGACATTCACATCTATCCAACATAGCTTTCTTGCGCGCATTACCTCATACATATTCAAGCACAACACATGCGCCACCACTCAAAATGTACGAATATGGTTAGCATTTTTGTCTCTAGATGTAGTGTGCATATGGTCACATCTCTGAATAGGAAGTAATGATCCCTAGTGCCGGTATGGAAACGACCACGAATGTGTCAGACGCTGCATAAATCAGTTAGCAGGCGAGCCATAGAGGTGTTATCTCTGAATACACGCCATAATTAAAGTTGATGCTAAATCATGCGCATTCGCCTGTGCCTATTTACTGTGGACTCCACTGGGGACAAACTCACTCTCTCCTCCCGCGGCTCCCCCGTCACCACTTGCAGCTTTCAGTAGGACTGATAAGTGCACCCGTGTTTACTTTGGCGCACAGCCATGCGCATCAAATCTGGCACTGTAAAACAGGAGGAAAGCGTTCTGATAAAGTGCAACATAATGACCCTCCACGTGTACAGGACAATAACTGAACCAGCAACAGCCATCGGTGTGCGCGTACGCGTGAGCGCGAGCCTCAGCAGGCACTGGGGAAGCATAGGCTACACGAGGTCCTGCAGGAATAAGGCTCAGCCTGGGTCAGAGCTGTCAGCATCAGATATCACTGGCGAGGTGTGACTGAGCGCTGCGGTTTGGTGTTGCTCAAACACTACATACAACCGAATTAAGATGCGTAGGGGGACAGAGAGAAAATGATAGAGTGGGAGGGACATGGCTCCCGAGTTTATAATGAAAACATTGTCCCTGGCGGCCCACTATGGCTTTAGCAGTTAAGTCAGCAGTTAAGAGTTAAAGCCTTCCACCCAACCTGTTTCCTTCCTGATAAGAAGTGGCACCTCCTTGTGTTCAGATCCCACCTCCTCCATAATAGACCATTCACACAAACTACAGTAAACAGTCTTGCACAGCCTTGGGAAAAACTTCAAGGGCATATAAGGCAAAATAGCCCCATCTAGTGGCCGGGAGCGGAATCTGCAAGAGGTGATTTTTAAAAGAGGACTTTGAGCAGATCATAAAATGCCTACATAAACTCTATGCACCCCAGCAACAACAATAACACCACATACACTCAAAACAATTGACTTTTAAGAAGCAGTAATCGCATATTAGTCAGGAATGCACTTTATTTATTCCACACTTAGAAAAGGACATCAGAAGGCACTGGAGTGGTTTAGCACAAAGCCTTAAGTCATAGGACTTCTAGGTCAAGCCAAGGTCAAAGACCAGCTCACTCTCAACCTGTTTGCTGCACCTAAAATGGAAAAACTGAAATAGATAAATAAATAAATCTGCTTCCTGCCATTTTAATTGCATGTTTGACTGGAGAGCAATCAAGTTTGATGTTTTGACAAGAAATGAACTAAATTCCTCAGTAGGTTTTATTATTAGACAACAGGGATCCCGACTTACATCTGATTTTCTTATCACATTGATAACCACTGTCTTAAGAGTAACAGCCTTTGAATCCTATCAAGGATGTTTCAAGTGTCAGCCTGAACTGTATGTTATCTAGAAGTGTTCTAAAGTGCAGCTGAACACGTGCAATGATCTCACTACCCGTTAGTGAATCTGCTTCTCAGCATGAAATGCAGGGTGCACTATTTAATGTGTTAGGTCATCTAGTCATGTCCTTTACTAGATGAGGAACCTGGGTGAGTAAGAAAAGGAAGCAAGGTGCAGAAATACACACCTGAAGATCAGCAGTCAAGCTCATGTTCAAACTGTGATGTCTCGATCTTCCTTTGCATAAGTTAAGTCTCCCAAAAAGATACATCCTTGACATCCAGGCAAGACATTCTTGACAGAGCTGAAGAGAAGCTAAACCTGCTGAGCAACCTCCCCCTCGTGTCCTCTCAGTTCAGACATTCATGGGTTAACTCAGGTTTGGCACTGAGTGATTACAACAGAACACAGTGTAGTTGTAGAGAAAACAAGAACGGCTGCAGAGATAATACACAGGGAGAGCATCTCATGAAGAGTACAATATCACAGGCAGTGTGCATTTGACTGACATGGCTGTGGACACAACTTACACTGTAGATATGAAGAGGCACCTGAGACGGAGCTGAGAAAGCACCAGTGGCCTCTCTTTCCTAACCCAATAACATCACATATGGCAGGGGGAGGAAATTATCCTGGCAAATCCATTTTACATGGACAATGGCCTTATGTCATTGCTTTCAAAAGCAAATTTGCTTCCTTGGTAATTTTTCTTAATATAAACATGCATCATTGTATACATGTTGCAAATATGGCGGGCACTTGACAATAACCAGATGTTTTGTGTTTGTGCCATTTCTAGGTGAGCAACCCAGACACATTCTGTCTTTGTTTCACTGGCAGTCTCCCCTATTTAAATCAGTTTTTCGTGTTTCACTTAAAAAAGGAAACAAGTAAAACCAAGTGGTCTTTACTATTAGAATTGGAGAGGAAGCACAAAAATTCTCAAGTCATCATGATACTCAAGAGGTCATGGTCAGTCCTTCAGAATGTCCTTTCTGGACAAATTTCATCACAGCAAGAAGCCAGGAAGGTTTTCAGCCACGGTTCATATCTACCAATCAGAGCTAATAAGAGTTCTCTTCCTAAAAGCAATCAACCACATTATCACATTTGCATGTCACTACTGGACTGTGCCTCTGCGGCAAATCACCCGTCCAGTTTCCTAACTCGACTCCTCTTCATGTAGAGTGAGAGGAGCGTAATGCTACATGGTACGGAATAAAATAACATTTAAAATAAAAAAATTACATTATTAGAAATATTATAATTGATTAAAATCTAACGATAAAAACAATACAACATTGCATTCTGTGAGGAATAACAACACAACAGTTCATTTCAAAATGTAAACAGTTTCATCCTTTCTTAATGAAAATCCTAAGTATTGTCAACTGGACTCCATTTCTTCCGCTTTATCTGGATTCCAGGTCGGTGTCCGAAAGTGCTCAGCTGACTTTTCAGTGCCCAGCTGCACAGCCATTCTAATGGCAATCCTGTTCTTCAAACCTCCTGCATGACTGCAGTTACAGTTACATTTCCTGATGTCACCAAAACAACATATGCTGGCTTCAGTCTGGTCATCCTGGGGGCTGCAGAGCACGGTGTGTGTACCCTAAGAGAGCGTCCCAGTTTCTCCACAGGAAGGCCAGCAGCAGGACAAGGAGGAGGGTTGAGAGGGAGCGTGAGCGTGTCTTCATCAAGGGAACCACACAGTTGGCTACAGTTGAGACAAAGACCAGAAGGACAGCCATCAGGGCGAGCAGCACATTGATAAGTTTTCCCAGGAGGGTCCTGGCTGTGGCATTTTCCAGCCCCTCCAACTGGACGACCTGCTGCTGCTGCTGCTGGAGCTCCATCTTTGAGATCCTGGTCTGACACGCCTCCAACGCCTCCTGCAAAGGACACACAGAAATATAAATTTCATCTCCTCCATACAGTACATTCAAACAAGAACTAAACACAGCATACTGTGCACTCAGTGGCAAAACTAAACATTAGTATCTTAGGTAGAATCTATGACTGAGCTGTTGTATTAGATCAGACATCAGATTTTACAGGTGTACCTAATAAACTGGCCAGAGTGTATATTTTGCAGACCTCTACCACCCCCTGCTGTCAGGTAAAGGAAATGCAGAAGGGGCAACTTGAGCCATACAGTAAATACACACTCCACACAGTTGTACTGTTCAAAAACAAACACACCTAGTAGGAGTAATGTGAGTAATTTACAAGTGAATGCGTATGCTGTTAACAAACAAACACACTAATGGACATCTTTATGTTTATAGTATCAACATGCATTAGAAAATAAAGCCTTGAACTGCTGAATCTGACTCAGCTTTATTGGCCAGGTGTGTCAGACACACGAGGACTCAATGTGTATGTACATATCCCCATGTAAGGGGCAAGTAAACAGTAAACCAGCGTAAGGCTGTGTAATATAACAAAATAAGCAGTATTAACAAGCAACAAACAGTGTATACAATGCAAAATAAGCAGTATAGACAGGCAGTAAACAATGCAGACAGACAAGAAATGCTCATTGTGAAATGGGATAAATAGGAATAAAAATAGAGTACTTAAAACTAGAGACCTGGAGGTTTAACTTAATGTATGACTCACACCATGATGCCTGGTCTGAGTGACCCATATTAGTCTACTACTACTTAAGATGGCAAGCTACAGACCTTAATGTGGCACTTCAAAATGCCCAAAATGAAAAATATTAGACTGAAATATTGTAAATAAGGAAGATATTTACAAATAAACAACATTTTTCATGAAATGTAACTTTGTCATGTTTACTGTCATAGTAACTCAGAGTTAGCTTGGCACTGTTGTTCCTCTAGCTAACAGCAGCTACTTGGCTAAAGTCACCAGCAGTTGCTGAGTGTGGCTCTGTCAAAGATCAGCCGCTCATATACGCTGAAGTTAAACTGTGTAATACCTTGTAATGTAATTAGAAGGGCTATAAAATCAATCCTAAACTTATTCAGGTTCTTCCTTTAGTTTTTCACCTATATGTACTATATATTCTGAAGTATTCACTGATGACTATTTGTTAAACATACAATTAAACATCTTTTCATGTAATATGTCACTATGGAAATCTCTATCTTAGAAATGACCATCAAATTCTGTGTTTGGCTCTTGTAGAATGTCAGAGGACAACACTTATGTTAACAGGACTACCTCTGTACAGTATGTGAATGCTAAATTTCAGTTAATGCATTGTTATATCTATATGAAATGGTCCCATGATTCAATCAGTCATTGCTTTGTGCATTCATTTATCCATCCATCATCTATACCGCTGATCCTGAAGAGGGTTGGGGTGGGGGAACCAATCCCTGTTGATACTGGCTGAGAGGCAGGTACGCCCTAAACAGGTTGCCAGTCTATCACAGCCACATAGAGACAGACATCCACACACCCACACCGACTCCTACAGGAAATTTATAGGCACCAATCAACCTAAGCTGCATGTCTTTGGGCTGTGGGAGGAAGCTGGAGTACCCAGAGAGAACCCACGCAGGCAGAGGGAGAACATGCCAACTCCTCTCAGAAAGGCACAAAGGGTGAAAAATGAAATGTAATTATGACAGAGCTTATTTCAGACATGGCAGTTGTGTTTGTGGACATAGGCCTGACGCCAAACCTGGATGTCTCTGGCTCTCTCGTACGACTGGTAGGCAATCTTCTCTTCCATGCTGGCCAGCTCCTGCTTGAGGTTCAGGATCTCATTCTGGTGAAGTTCTGTCAGGTCATTCAGCTGCTCCTCCAGACGTTCACACCTGAACACACATGGGAAAAAAACAAACAAACAAAAAAAAACACCCACATGAGAGTCTGAGGTGTAACTGGCTCAGACAAAGAAACAAGCAGGAATTAGTGGAAACCAGTCCAGAAGGCATCAGACAAAGAAACAAGCAGGAATTAGTAGGAGGCGTTTGACCACATGGCATCAGTCTAAACTGATGACTCGCCCTGACAACATTAGGTCATGTTTACTCATCTGCTGATCCAACTGGCCAATCAGAGTGAGTCAGCTGTATGAAACTGACCAATGAGAGGTGCTCAGCAGGAGGAGAGGGATCTATGTTGTGTTTACTTTGGCAGGCACATACATTATAACCGAATGGACAACAAAGAACAGACAGGAGACTACCCTTGTGTACGTTTGTCCAAGTTTGTTTTTCTTAACAGAATTATACAGAACATTACAGGTAAACAACACAGAGAATGTAATGAGAGGTGGCAGGATAAGATTTAAAAAGCTTTGCTTGGAGTTAACTGCTGATTTATAATGACTTACCATTATAAAAAAATGTGACATTAACAAAAATTAAATCGATTAAGTATTGTAGCTCCAAATTCATCAACAAAATAACTCCGTTATTTACAGCCCTAGTTGAGAGCGTGACATTTTAGGGAATTCTTGGTTAAGCCAATGATGGGTTCAGTCCCTGAGGAACTATATAGCAACATGACTGGATTATGAAATGCCCATTCCCTGCAGGCAGGCTGAAAAAAGCTCCTTAGTGGACATTCTGTTAGCTATTTTTTTAGTCTTCAAGGACAAACACGCCGCTTTGGACTCTGATGGCCATTTTAGGGAGAAAAATGCTCTTTCACTATCACTGCCCTGCCTCTTTACTGCCCCTCTTAATCTTTGTGCCCTCATGTAAGAACATTTTGGAGGAATATGAGTATGTATTTGTAGGCCAGCGGCCCAGACAAGCCGAGATGTCTGAGTCTACGTGCAGAGTTGAAAACAATGACTGAAATAACACCGAAGGCCTTCAAGCTTATGAGTTGTGCAGGTGTGTCTGTCAGCTTTGTGGAGCGTCCGGCTTAAACGTCAACTGTCGTATCACAACAACAAAGCAACTATTCTCTTATATGCAGTGCAGAGGCTAGTATCAGATTAATACACCAATCAGATACATGCATAAGAAACCTGTAATGACAGTAGGCACTGTAACAGTCCTGACTGACACTCAAATTTTGCATAATGCATGTGATAGTGGCACATTTGCTTTGATGCTCAAGCAGCACCTTTATGCAAGCTGTACATGTTCATGTAGATGAGGTTTAGGTATTGTATTTATCTAACGTGTGCTAACTCTTTAGAGCACAAGCAGGGCTGATGTTGCCCATGATGATGCATCACCAGATGGCACATGGCCGATCAGAATGTGTTCTAAATATAGGAGTTCTTCCTGTTTACACACTAATAAAATTCTAGGGGGAATCTTGAGTTAAAAATAAATGCTTCAGGAATATATGGTATGCACATTCTGGTTCTTTCTCTGTTGTTTCTTTACCTGAAGCGTTCCTCCTGCAGTGCCTGCATAATGACTGTGTAGTCTCTCTGATAGTGGTCCTTCAAGCCATCAAGGCCCTCCCCTAGCCTTGCCTGACCCTCCCTAAGCTCCTGCACCTCCTGCAGCAGCATATCCAGGCTGGAGCTCTGGTTCCTCTCCAGTGTGTTGCCCTTGGAACTAGGGGGGCCTCCAGGGGCCCCCGTGATGCTGTTGGCCCCCATTGAGCCTGACGTAGCACTAGAGCAGTCATCCTCACTGCCATACTTGGGACTGGACTGGAGGTGATGCCCAGCACTGCCCAGTGAGCGTCCGCCAGGCCCTGTCACTGCTTCCTCCACTGAGGGGTCTTCCAGAGAGTCTTTGAGAGAGGGGATGTTGTCGGCGCTGCCAAATTTGTTGCGAAGCAGTGAGGCGATTTCCCTAGGTTTGGAGACGACAGCCCCTGCAGCGGAGTGGGTGGCCTGGGAGAAGCTGGAGAGGCCTCCCTTGACGCTGTCCACCACACCTTCACTGAAGCCGGTGACTTTGGCTCCCACATCTTTTAAGCCCTGCTGCATGTCCCGCAGAACATCCTTAGGCTGGCGTGGGATACCGTTGTGCTCCACCTCCCGCAGCTTCCGGTGGTAATGCTCCAGTTTCCTTTGCAGCTGCTGGATGGTCTGTGCTGACTTCTGGTTCTTTTTTTCAAAAACCTAACAGTCACAGCACAGGCTTTCATTGGTCAGGGTAATGCACATTACACTGTAATAATCTGCTCCACTCCAGTATATTTATCAAGCTCCTTTCCCCTAGAGCCAAACGGGTTTAGCATTGACACACTGTCACATTAACTAACAGTACCACTCTGTTAAAAACACAAGACAATTAATTGTCTGTATTAAATCTTTAATAAAATACACATTTATTACTTCCAAAGAGCACAGCAACTCTTAATTTTACCTGTTTGATACGTGTGCTTTGCTGTTTGTCAGCATTGTGAGCCAGTTTGAGGTACTCAGCAACGTTATCATCCCTGACTGTCTGCTCAATCTTGATTTGCTCTGTGAGCTTGAGGATTTTCTGCTGGAGCTGGGCAATAGCCTGTTTGGTGCGCTGAGGGTCTGGAGTGGCATCCTCACCCCCTGGGAATGAACCGTCTGCCCCACATGACACAGCCAGGGGTGTTTGGCCCAGCCCGCTCACCTCCAGCCGGTCGATCTGAAGTGAGGCAATGAGAGAATGGTCAGAGGATGGATTCAAGGTTTTAGAAAATAAGAAAAATAGGGAAGGAAGAAGTGTGAGCTGCATATTTTTTGCTGACACAGAAAACAGAGGCTTCTGCATTTCTGTAGCCAGTCAGTTGGAAAGAAGGCAAATGAAAGCAGTTAAAAAAGGCCACTTGCGGTCAGTTTGTCACAAGAGGAAGATGCTTAATATACATTTTTAATATGAGGCTTTACAAAGAAAGGAAACTGGAAGCAGACAATAACTTTCTTCATTTTCACACCTGAACAACATTCAGTAAGTCTGTGGATGAAAGCAGAGCTATCTGCAAGTCTTTTTTTTCTTTGGTTAAACATTTAGGTTTCTAGTTCATTGCAGGGAGCGACAATATAAGACCAACAGAACATTAGACTTTTGTCTTCCCGTATTAAAAATATTTGTCTGTGTTGCTTTTTCAGATACTGAGCTGATTTTGTCAACAGGCCACAAAGCATTTGTGTAAAAAAATCACAAAACACTTTCTAAATGGAGTTATTCCTGTATATTCCTAAAATAGATAAACTCAGCCTCTGCAGATGATGAACCTTGCACATCAAACCACAGGCAGACGATGTGGCTCATTTTCTGAAGCAGCTCAGGGAAAGAAAGGACACACACAGAATCAACACCGCACTGCTAGAGTTAATCAAAGAAGGGATTGTGATCAAATATTCCTCTTATCACTGAGCATACACATACAATAATCAGATGAACCCGAAAGCTCACCCTGGGGGTTCAGAATCCAAGACAGAGCGATCATATATATTTTAGCATTGACCACGTACACATCACATAGCTTATTAATAGTTTTCCATTATTACCACACACAGAACTGGTAAAACCAAAAGCACCAGACGCTTACCTGTGCCCGCATGACTAATCCTTTAGTCATAGTAGTCAACAACAGAAACCAACGTACCGGGGAAAAAATAAAAGTTTCTGTCGCCAAAGTACAAAAAACTATCTCAAACTAACCGCACTGTCTTATTGGTCCTTCAGACACAAAAGCGACAACATGCGCAAAAATCGGCGCTCACCTTTCCATTCGTAAAACGGAGAAGTTGCTCCCAGTGCATTTTAACCCAGGTGAAGGGGAGCTGTGTACGCTCATCTGTCCTGAACCTTAGAAGGTAAACAGCTAAATCCTACTTCGTAAACTCACTGGAGCTGACTCCTCAAAGTTCAGCCGGACACTTGTGCCCGTCCAACTCGCTGGTCTTGATAAAACTGAATCGCACCTGAAACCCAGTGAACCGGGCGGTGAGCAAAGCTCCGCCCACTCCCCCGCCCACTCCAGCTGAAGAATGACATCATCCCGTGAGCGGGCAGCCAGCTGCCAATCATCCTCAGTGAACAAGAATAGATCCTCAGTAAGACTTCTCGTTTGGTGTAAGAGGCCCACTGAAACACTATCAAACCACTTCACATATATACAAATAAGTATTACAAGACTTAAGTAAAATAGCAGCAATTGTTATGCTGATTCACTAATCAGCATAATTTTATTGGCCAGGTATACTGACACATGGGGTACATTTGGGGTACAAGGCGGTTCTCAGCAGCTTTTAATATACTTCAACAGTACAGCGCAGCAGTTGATAGTGATAACGATTAACACAGGACTTGTACTGGAGTATTTTTTATAGTTCAGTATTGTTTACTTCAGTGAAGTACTTCTTCCACCACTGGGACAGTGAACATATTTACTGGAGGACAAAGGAAAATATCAAGACAAACAAATACACATATGGCTATAATAAAAACAAGAGCTACTGTATGTGTATTGTATATGTAGGTCATATTGTTATTATACAGTATGTACACAACAATGGAATAGGGGATTGTTCCTGGGTATTATTATTAATGGATCTCATCTGTATGCCACTTTTACCATCAAACAAATGAATGAACTACATGAGGAACAAAAATCACACAACCCCACAAAGCCAAACACGCTGTAGGCTTGTTCATCAGTGTCTCAGATCTGCACCACAAAAGAGAGAGAGTCTGTTTTAATATAAGTGATTACAGATGATTGTATCATAACAAATATTTGCGATCAGTTAATGTGTGGAGTAAAATCCTATCTAGTTGAACCAGAGGCTACAGGGAAGACTGTAATGTAAGACTACATCAGGTCCCAGTTTCTCTGTGTGTGTCTGAGCCATTCAATAGAGAGGAAACTAGAGGGCAAGAAAAACCAGTCAGACCTCTTTTTACCAAACACACAAACACACTTATGCAAGGGCACATTCCTCGAAGTTCCAGGAAACCCTACCAATGTGGCAACTTCACTTTAAAGTCTTTGTATTATGTTGATTACTGTGCAGCATTAAATAGTAGAAGGCCTACATCTATGAGTCAGTGTGGCTAACAAATGTTGTGAACAGTAAATCGAATCATTATTAAACCCTTCTGTTATGTGACCAAGGTATTCAAATGAATCAGAGAACTAGAATAGCCTCCTGGGCCGACACAGAAGAGAGGTGAGAAGTGCCATTTCAGAGCTTGTCTGTTATCAGTTATGAACAGTATTAATAGCATTATGAGGGGCAAACATAAATAAAGCACCCATTTCATCCATATGCAAACTCAGTCATGTAAATGTAATGATTTTCCAGTTTGCTCATATCACAAAGACGACTGAAACAAGAGTAAACTGGAATAAAACTGTACGCTCTCTGACAAAAGATACAGATACATAGGGCAAAGGATGAGTCTGTTAAACCCTTTGAACTTGATTACCCTGCAATTCTAAGCATGCGGAGGTTTCTGATATGACGGCCTGGTGACCTGTACACACTGGCACCAAATCTACACCCTTTCACCGATTTAAAAATTTCCCTGTCAGCTATGTAAGCCAAGGGAAGCACAGACAGCTGGTAAGTCAGGTGGTTTCCTAAGGTGTACAGCTCTACAGATAGCTCATATATTCTCTATGTCACTGCACAGTTGTGTTCTAATTTTTATCCAAGCTCAGGGTACTGCTATGTCACCACACATAGCAAAGCAATGCTTCATCCCTCTGCCCACTTCAGTTCCCAAACAAACTGCCTGTACAATCAGCATCATCCCCAAATGGTCGAGTTTTTCTGTGACTAATCGTGCATATAATTACTGAAGGATTAGGTTAATTTCCCAGGGTTAACAGAGCCAAACATGTTGATGTGGTAAGCCACTGAAGCAAGAAGTGATAGAAACTACTTCACTGTAGCATGTGTAGCCTAATGAGAGAAACCGGGTATGTGAGTGTTTGCAACTGGGGGAGGGGGGAGGGGGGTTCTTGATCCCACTCTGATTAGACTTTATCAGTGAGACGGAAAGACAAAGGGTCCGCATGGGCCTGTCCTCTGCCCTATGGCTCCCTGCATGCATCCATACACATGTATCCATTCTCAGAGAAGCCTGCCCTTACTCCACCCATGTCATAAACTGGGTCCACCTGCTGGCAGGCCTGGTTGTGCAACAGCCTCTGATGAAAGTAAAGCTGGTCATAGCCATGGAAGTGCAACCCTGACTTTCACTGGATCCACCAGAGCCCCAGAAAAACCTAAACACACTCAAACCCGTGGCCATATGTCTCACACAAACAGGCTTTTAGAAATCATTACTAGACTACTGCTGTTAGATGTACATCACGTATAATTAGATAGAAGCAACAACAACATCTTGTACTTCCCATCACAGTCTCTCTCAGCCATACAAGACACATTTGCCCCAAATTACTGTCTGCTAATGTAGTTCATGGAGCAGAAATTTATGCCGATGCTATCATAAGCTCTTTTTTTGACCAGATAGCTTCTGACATCCCCTGCTTTTTCGTCTCTAACTCCTGTTCCGTGCGTTTTTTGTTTTAAGAGATGATTCAAAGGGTTTCGGGTTGAGTAATGTGCTCATCAAGATGTTCTGATGGACAAACAGTGGAAACTTAAGCTTCTTGTCACACCGATGATATTTACACCCAGGTCAGGGTGAGTGGAATTTAGACCCGCTTCCTCAGCTGCCTGCTGCTTATCGTTTTAAGATGCATGGATTTTTATGCCACATGTTTATGAATGATACAAAATCATCATGTTGTTTTAGACTTATCACTTCTATAACAGTCTTAAATACTGTATTTAGTGTAAACATAGCAATCATAAACCAAACCAAGCTGTGCAGTGATTGTTTTGAATATAAAGATTTTTGCCTGAAACACCGAGCTTAACCTTTCCTGCATCTATTTACTTGTAACATTCTCCACAATCAAGGTGAAGTTGTTGCTATTTCTATATGCAAGTGCAAAAGTACAGTACCCTGTTGGTTGTTATGCCTTGCATTC